GCTGGGGGCTGAAAAATACTAAAACTTTTCGTTTTGTAAAAACAATCGGTACTAGTAACCCCCTAACCCCACTAAGCCGCACTTTAAACTCTCAGAAATTCACCAAATAAGGCTGGGGCAGTACAACCAAGAGTACATAAACCAGAGTGTGCAACTCGGGATGGTTCCTGTGGGAGCGTAATTCGTGCAGTACTGTCATTTCTGACGGCATGGTAAGCCACAGGTACGGTGAAAAGTTGCGTAACCAGTCGCGGTGGTACAGGTCACTGAGTTTGTCCTGATTTCGGTTTTTTGATACGGATAGCCTGGTGACTTTACTTGTCGGTGGCTGTACGCAGCGTACACAGTTACACAAAACACCGAAATCCTGAAACTGGACGTCTAAAATCAAGCAAACTTGGCTGATTTCCGGGCTATGAAAGATGAAAATTTGAGCTGTACACCGTCGCGGCTTGGCTGACCTCATCAGGGTGACGTAGTGCACGAACTGCGCTGTTTCAGATCTGATATGCACAGTTGCACACTCTGGTTTATGTACTTTTGGTACAACTTTTAGGGGTCATTTTGATCACATTTTGACTGCATTTTTGAGTTTATCGGCAAGGTGGAGATGAAATTTGAAAATGTTTTCTGGTGAATCTCTGGTGAAGAGCCTTCTCTAGCCTCCTATAGTTTTATTTTTACTTTTGGACAAAATTTGAAAAAGTTTTATGAAAGGTCCGTGAAAAATAACACGAACCTTTCATAAAACGTTTTCAAATTTTGTCCAAAAGTAAAAATAAAACTATAGGAAGCTAGACAAGGCTATTCTCCAGAGATTCACCAGAAAACAAATTTCATCTCTGCCTTGCCGATAAACTCAAAAATGCAGTCAAAATTTTCCCAAATAAGTTGTACCGCCCCAGCCACCTTAAACTACGCTGGTCAAATGAACCGTGGAGTACAGGGTAGATCAGGGAGTCGTAAAATTGGGGTAGATGTTTGTATTTCGTGACAAAAAATCTGGGTGCGCCTTATACAGTACTCCAGTGCACTTTGGAGTACATGGTACATCAGGGAGTCGTAATTTTACGACTCCCTGATCTACCATGTTCTCCAGTGCACTTTGTCCGTGTACGCCCACATCTCCGTTATCCGGACCGTGTACGCCCACATCTCCGTTATTCGGACCGTGTACGCCCACATCTCCGTTATCCGGACCGTGTACGCCCACATCTCCGTTATCCGGACCGTGTATGCCCACATCTCCGTTACCCGGACCGTGTACGCCCACATCTCCGTTATCCGGACCGTGTACGCCCACATCTCCGTTATCCGGACCGTGTACGCCCACATCTCCGTTATCCGGACCGTGTACGCCCACATCTCCGTTATCCGGACCGTGTACGCCCACATCTCCGTTATCCGGACCGTGTATGCCCACATCTCCGTTATCCGGACCGTGTACGCCCACATCTCCGTTATCCGGACCCCGAAGTTGCGGGCACTTCGGTCTGCCGGGCACACTTTGCGCGAGTTTAAGTGGAAATATTACTACTAGTACTCCTTTGTCACCTGTCTGGGAGCCGCTGGGTTTTTCCAGCCGTGCTGCTACCCACAGTGAACTGGGAACTTGTGGCCAGGCACAAGGGGTACATGGATGCAGCTAATGGGGTCGTCCTCGGCACTTGTGCCAATGGTTGTGAGACTTATCCACTCACCCCAACCGTTAAGCGCTGCATCTCCCGCTAGGGTTTACCGGGTGTTAGCGGCCGTCGTGAGTTCCCTTGGGGAACGGACACGATAATTTACTTATTTTTTTGTCACTTTTAGTGGAAATAGTTAGGGGTGAAAGGGGTGATCCAGGAAACCCGGGTACCCGTCTGTTTAGCTGCTGGTCCGTTAGCAAACGAGTACCCGATAGTCGTGTAGGATTGTAGGGTACAGTATTAGAAGCTTGCTTGTACAGTTGTACAGTTCAGTGCACAGTTTTGAGTGTGTTTTTCCTCGTTCAATCCTGCTACATATCACGGTATCCATTGTAGCTACGACAATTTCGACTGTTGGCATGTAGCGCAGTGATTGTGCACACTGTGCTTGTCGCGGTGTAGTGTACTTGTATGACTTCGCATATCCTCCTGGCGTGAAATACGGAAGGCTACTGTAGCAACTGTTGCCCGAAAATTTCTCTCCTATCAGAATACCTGCAAAAGACATGTTGCGATTACGATCACAAGCAAATGCAACGTTTTTGGAAAAGGTATGGCGGATAAAGGGTACCCGATAACCCGCCCGTTAAGCCAGATACCCGTTTGTTACCTTAAAGGGTAACCGTTTCACCCCTAGTTCAAATAGTGATGTCATACTAGTATGCCATATCTATGGCCGTTCCCCATCAAAATGTATGTGATTCGGAGTTACGGACATTTCGAAGTTACAGGTAGTGCTCGGTCCTGGACCGCCCGGATAAACGAGGCATGAGTGTACTCCGGAAAATACTGTAACGGGGGGGGGGGGGGGGATGAATCACGAGATCCATTTCATCTTGTTCGTCTCTCCGTTCTCTACTGTGCTTCTCCTTGTGATCTGCACAGGTCGTGGTACGGGATTAATGAACAGGCCAGCTTGAAAAGCGGCAAGGGCTCCGTAAAGGGCAAGTTCCGCTTCGAGGAGAGCGACTTTAACTTTGAGGAGCAGAACAGCGCCACGGAGGACGTCTCGATCCGCGCCGAGGACATTGACACGGATCAAATCGTCACGGCAACCACCAGCGCTGCCAGCAACTCCGGCGACTATTCTGCCGTCCACGCCGCCGGGTCCGGAGACCCGCAAGCATCCTTTGCGGCACTCGGAGAGAGCTCGCCATACGCGCCGGTGGACGCCCACTTCATTCTCGCCAACCAACAGCAGGAACAGCCTACATACTCCACGCTGGAAGCCCATCAGCAACAGCAGCAGATGCATGGCCAGGCGAATGGTGCTCAGCAGTATTCCAACATCCAACAGCAGTCGTCCAAGCAGCAGATGGCCCAACAGTATTCCACCGTCCGCCGTCAGCAGGCGCAGGAGGAACAGCCGCAGACACACCAGGACCACACGCAACAGCCACTGGCTCACAAACAGCCGTACGCCAGCGTGTCGCGAGGCAATTGCTCCAGCGCCCGCCCAGTGCAATCGCACGGCGTCACCCTGGTCGACGTTGAGGACGAGTCGCAGGATGGGTCTCTCATCCAGGAGGGCTTCGACAGCTTGGCCGTGGGGCGAGGGGCGGCGGCCGGATCGAAGCGACTGGCAAAGTCGATTTCCACCGCCAGCGCTCAGAGCGCGCAGTCGTTCTTGGTGGACGATGTGCAGGCTGCTGGCAGCGAAGGTGTGCAGGTTTCGTCCAGTAACTATGCCAACATGCACATGGATCAAACTCAGGCTGCTGCGCTCAACCAAATCGGAAACAACGCGTCCGCAAACAGTGCCGGCATGCACGCCAACCAAACCCAGACCGCCACCCTCAGCCAATCCATGAACCAGGGCAGCCATGCCGGTTTCCAGGCCGACGGACCGGAGGCGTACACGCAGCGCGAACAAGCGGCACGCCAGTACGCCAGCGTGTCGCGTGCCAATCGCTCCAGCGCACGTCAACTGCAGCCACAGTGCGTCACCCTGGTCGACGTTGAAGGCGGCGAGGCACAGGACGCGTCGCTCATCCAGCAGGGCTTTGACAGCCTCGCCGTTGAGCGTGGATCGCCGGGATCGAAGCGCCTGGCCAAGTCGGTATCCACCACGAGCGCTCGCAGCACGCAGTCGTTCTTGGCTGACGATCTGCAGGATGCTGTCGCTGCCAACGACGGCGATCTCCAGCCGGGAACTGTTAGTGGCACTGATCACATCGACGGCTTCCAGGCGGCGGCCATCAGCAGCAGTGCTGCCGGCTTGCACACCAACGGATCGCGCAAAGCCAAGTCCAGTCAGTCGTCGGTGCAAACTGCCGGCGCTGCATTCAGCGCTGGCGGTGTGAGCGTCGACGGACCCCGCAGTGCCGTGTCCATCCAATCCTCGGTCCACGCTGCTGGCGCTTTCAATGCCGGCATGAGTCCTGACGGATCCCGCAGAGCCGTGTCCAACCAATCCTCGGTGCAAGCTGCCGGCGCGTTCAATGCCGGCATGAGTACTGACGGATCCCGCAGAGCCGTGTCCAACCAATCCTCGGTGCAAGCTGCCGGCGCGTTCAATGCCGGCATGAGCCCTGACGGATCCCGCAGAGCCGCGTCCAATCAGGCCTCGGTCCAGACTGCCGGCGCTTTCCAGGCGTCCGAGGCCGATCTCATTTCGCCGACGGATAGCCTCGACGAGCTGGACGTCGTGGACTTGGAGGCGGAGGAGCGACAGCGGACGGCCTCCAAGCCAGGCGTACGTCCTCGCATGGCGCTCCCCGGAACGGCCAGTGTTGGCCAGCACGTTGACTTCAGCTCGGCAAGCGAGACCGCACACGGCAGCAAGCGCCTCTCCAAGAAGAAGAGGAAGGCGCTGAAGAGCCAGTCGGGCATTGGCAGTGTGCAGATCATGCGTCCCATCACCAGCGCCCACAGCATCCAGTCGTTCTTGCCCGACGACGACGACTGCGAAGACGGTTCGGCAGCGGTCGAAGGCCTCGCCGAGAACTATGCCAACACGGCCGAGTTTGACCGGCGGTCACGACTGGCCCGCGCCAGCCGAGTGGAGTCCTACCAGCCCGACCTCGTCTCGCAGGTCGACAGCCTCGACTTTGGCGGCGAGGAGGCACAGATCGTGGACGTAGAGGCCGACATTGCCATGGCCGTCTCCAGCAGCCGCTTTGCGTCCAGCGCCCACATGGCCTCGCCGGCCCTCAACTGGGACGGAGGTGAAGAGGGCGAGAGCGGCGGACTAAATCCGTCGTCGCCGCGCAGCAGATGCGCCAGCACGCGCACCGTATCCAAGAGCCACGCCGAGCAGACGGCTGTCGTCACGGAACTTGGCGACAAGGAGTACGAGCCGCTCACGCCCTACCAGCTGGCCGCGGCCGCCTCGGCGAACCGCGACAAGTCCGCCCACCGGTCGCGCGCCAAGCGTCTCGACGCGCGCAAGAGCCTGGACAACATCATTTAAAGCGCCGTTTCGGCGCGTGCATCCAGCCACTGCGTCCGGCGTTGTGTGTGTGTATACTGTGTGTACGCATCATCTATCCACAGTGTATGCGTTGTGTGTGCCCACGTTGTGTATGCGTTGTGTGTGCCCACGTTGTGTATGCATCTAGCCACTGTGTATGCGCTGTGTGCCCTCCACCAACCTCACTTCCGTCTGTCTCGTCTTAGCCCCATCGCCTAGTAGCACTAGTACTGCACTGATCTCAGCCATGGTTCCTCTCTCGTCTACACCATCTACCGTGCCCAGCCCTACGAAACTGTACTCAGCCCCTACGAAACTGTACTCAGCCCCTACGAAACTGTACTCAGCCCCTACGAAACTGTACTCAGCCCCTACGAAACTGTACTCAGCTCCTACGAAACTGTACTCAGCTCCTACGAAACTGTACTCAGCCCCTACGAAACTGTACTCAGCCCCTACGAAACTGTACTCAGCCCCTACGAAACTGTACTCAGCTCCTACGAAACTGTACTCAGCTAATCGAATATACTAAAGTGTACTAAGCGGTACTATACCGTACTAATAGCGTACTATACCGTACTATAATGTACTATGTCATAGTTTAGTGCAGTCCCCCGTACTCTTTTAGAACATACTTGACAACGCGTCCTCCACTATCCTGGCCAACTGCCCTCCCTCCTTCCGCCGCCGCTGTTCTCCATCCTGCTCTGCCGCTCCTGCGTCTGTTTCTTCTCTTACCTCTACGTGTGCGGCCTCTTGCTGGCCTTCATCGCTTCATGTCACCCCGCATCCCTCTCCCCCTCCCCCCATCCAGCTGACCAACCTTTCCACACATACCTTATCGGTTAACTAAAGTGCTCTACATGCACCTTCTGGCCAGCCCCACTGAATTTGGTGAATCTGTTCCATCTCTCGATCTCTTTCTTTCCCTTGCCGATTCTGATGCAAATTTTATATTTTTGCATTGTATTATTCTTTTCTTCATCCGCATCTAGCGGTGATATATTTCGTTGCTATGCCGATTTTCAGTCATGCCTTCAGGGTCAAAGCATCATGCCCTTGAAAACGTGCGTGTATCCATGGGTGTGTGCGTGCGTGTGTATGTGTGGGTGTGGGTGCGTGCGTGCGTGCGTGTGTAGGGGTAGGCATTTCCCAAATCGGCCCGATTTATTAGCCCAATCGGCTTTTCGATCGGCTAAGAGAATGTCCAATTTCAGCAATGTTA